GACAGCCCAAAGCCTTGCGACTCTGCACCCTTGTGGAAGACCTGGAAAGAAATTCCTGGCTCCTTGCTTTGGATTGATGCAACACCGGCCGTTGTGGCCACTTGGAGAGTGAATCATTGGATGGAAGATCTTCCTGTCTGTCTCTCCTCCTCTCTGTATATCTGGCTTTCCAATAAAAAATAAATAAACAAACAAATAAATGGCAATATGTAAAGAATTACATTTTAAAAAATTGAGCAGTACTGAGCAGTGGAATTGGTGTTTAGATTGGGGCCAAATGATGGAAAATATTCAGACTTCATACTAACCATCAGCTGTAAGGTTCCTGAGGTAAAGAATTTCCTTCCTTTTGTTAAATCTATTCATTGTGGAAATTCAGTAGACTCAGTATCATTCAAACTTACTGTGTTTGGTAAAATATTTGTTAAACAGGCAGGAAGTTACAAAGTATGCTTTGTAGACACTGCTGATTTCCTCCCAGACATTAAGGTTGTGCTTGTTAACCATTAAGAGGATGAAACTGGGCAAAGGTCAGGTTCTCCTGGGTACCCTAGAACTGAGCCACTCTATCACAAAGCCTTTTAAAAAAAAAGTTTTAACTTTTTGAAAAAACAGTATAGGCATTTAATGACATGGTCTGCACTTTAAGTGCTATGTAATTAAAACCAAAAATATGTAGCCAGTTAAGAAAAAAACCTAAACACAAATAAGAGGAGGTAGTCCCTGCATGTGTCCGTATTACTAATAATGATCTTGCCTCATCAGGTTGCTCTGCAGCCCGAGCAAGCACCCTTCGCCTTCCCAGTCCAGGGGCTTGTCTGACCGCAGTCTTGGAAATTTCATATTTAAAAAGTCCTTTATGGTGCTTTCCGGTCTTTTTTTTGTGAACTTCATTCAGATTATTGACCCTTTTTAAATTGCTGTTGTCAGAGAAGGCCTGGACAATTCTCGCATTCTTTTTGATCAAAAATATCTGTTATTTTTTGATGTTCTATCTTAAGGATGTCACAACTTTCCCCCACCTATGTAGGGATTAAATCATTACCTGATTTAGGATGGCCTGACCTTCATCTCTCAGGTGATGATACCATGACCCATTTCAGAGAAGTGGCACATATGGACGGGTGCTTCCTTTTACAAGTGAAAAGCATTTGTACAGTATGTACTTCTTACATTAAATCTCACAATCAAGTTGCTTAGAGCTTTCACTTTTTTCACTTTCACTTTTTTATCAGGTATTTTTAGTGATTTTAGTTAAATGATATGATTTAAAAAATAACATTTTGGGCGGTAACTTTTTGTGATTTTGAATATCAGTATAATTTGCCAAGCTTAAGAGCAAGTTGATTTTACAAAAACTTTTTCCCCAGATTTTTTTAAGTCACTTAACAATTTCTCTTCTTCTTTACTATTACTTTTTTTTTTTAAAGATGGGTTTATATATTTGAAAGAGTTACAGAGTGAGAATGAGAGATAGAAACAGAAAGAGATCTCATCTGCTGGTTCACTCCTCGGATGGCTTCAGTGACCCAGGTTGGGCCAGGCCGAAGCCGGGAGCCAAGAGCTTCTTCTGGGTCTCCTATCTGGGTAGCAGAGACCCACGCACTAGATCCATCTTTCACTGCTTTCCTCATATCGTTAGCAGAGAGATGGATGGAACTGGAGCAGCCAGGACAAGAATCCATGCCCGGGTGGATGTTGGCATCGCAGGTGGCAGCTTCCCTGTTCCTTTTTAGAGAAGGAATGTGGTCAAGATTCTCCCAGAAGAAAATCAGTGGGGTCTTACTCTGAGACTGGCTTTACCATGAGCTGATGAAAATGATGCTGGTGAAGAGGAGCTCTGTTGCACCTCCTTGGCATAGAGTGAGACATTTAAGATGCATTTTTAATTGTCGGTAATTAAAGGGGACAGAATTTTGAGTGTCTGCAAAAGTGGCTCTTGGAAGAGCTACTCTGAACCTAATAGGTTTCCGTACCTTTAACTGTGCCTGAATAAAGGCTGTATGTGAATCTAGGATGAGACCATGCGAATAATTATTGCCCAACAGATATAGCCTGGGAAAACCCAACCTTACCTGCTCAAAATGTGGCTAGAGAATAGAGAAAAGTGATGGTTGCTCCTTAGTGAGCTAGGCAGGAATGATTAAATCCAACCACCATATATAGACTTCAACTGAATATAATATTTCAACTTCCTGAAAGTGATAACTGTATCACTAGACAAAAAGTGTGTAGTCACTAGGAAAATAAAAAAACATTTTTATTGCCTTCTTATATGAACAGATACCAAATGTAGTTGCTTGGTATTTTACAGAGTTAAGAGTCACATCCTTTTGTAACCTCAGCATCTCAAGAACAGTTTATTGTTGAGAAAGGAAGTTTTTTAGTTCTATGTCCAGAGAGTATTATTAGATCTGAAGACTGGAAGTTTCTAGATTTTCTGTGCTCTTTGCATAATTTTGAAAGCAATATCGGGCCCAGCACAGTAGCTTAGCAGCTAAAGTCCTCGCCTTGCATGCGCAGGGATCCCATGTGGGCACCGGTTAGTGTCCCAGCTGCCCCATTTCCCATCCAGCTCCCTGCTTGTGGCCTGGGAAAGCAGCAGAGGACGACCCAAAACCTTGGGACCCTGCACCTACTTGGGAGACCTGGAAAAAGCTCCTGGCTCCTGGCTTCGGATAGGCTACGCTCTGGCCATTGCGGCCACTTGGGAAATGAATCAATGGATGGAAGAACTTCCTCTCTGTCTCTCTTCCTCTCTGTATATCTGACTTTCCAATAATAATAAATAAATAAATAATTGAAAAAAATGCAGACCTCAGACTCATCATGCCTTAAAAAAAGAAAAACAAAGCAAGCAAGCAATGCCTTAGAATGGTAAGGAGTTTTTTAGGAATCATCATAACGATCTTTGACAGTGAATGTTGAAAGATCAATAGAGAATGAATCACAGCACAGGTGTATAGTCACCTTTTGAGCCAAACTGGCTGTCCGGCCTGTAAGACTTGATCATAGCCTGTTGAAATGCAAAAACTGTGTCATTCAGAACAGACAAGAGGTTAGCCCTGTGTCAGCGTAGTGGATGTGTGTAAAAGTGCTTTAGTGACCACCAAAGTGCTGGGTGTGTTGCAGTTCTCTTGAGATGTTTGTTAGGACAGGTATAGAAACAGAACAAAAGAAATTTGGAGACTCAAGTGTTAGATGATATAATGTTAGTAAAACTATCTTACCAATGCAAATCGATTCTAGGTCAGAAGGCCTTCAGGACAAAAGCCCAGGATGAGCCCTTCCTAGTTTAGATAGCATTCCTATAGCATGGCTAGTGTGTTCGTGAGTGTTGTGTAGTTCATGAATTATATTTGTGTGCTTTGCATTACTCAGCACTTTCCTAAAAGAGCTCAAAAGATGTTATGAATGAGGTTAGTTTTGAGTACAGATAGAAAGGATTTTAGTTTAGGTCTCTCCTATTTTCCTAAGAAATCATCGCCGTTCGCACTGCTGTCTGTAAAATGGATAGTCTAGGGGCTGGTGTTGTGGCATATCAGGTGAAGCCATTGCCTGCCGTGCTGGTGTCCCATATGGGAGCTAGTTCAAGTCCACTGGAGATGTGAACAGCAGATGGAAGATTTTTTTCCCTCTGTGTCTCCTCTCTGTAATGCCACCTTTCAAATAAATAAATCTGTTAAGAAACAAAGAATAGTATTCTTTTCACATTGTTTATTTCTTTGAAAGTTAGAGACAGACAGGTGTCCCCCATCTGATTGTTCCCTGCAGATGCCTGCATGGGGCTGGGTCAGGTTGAGGGCAAGTGCCTGGAATGCAATCCAGGTCTCCCTTAGCAGTGGTGGAGACCCAGCTGCTGGAGCCCGTGCCTGCTGCCCTCTCGGGACCCATCAGCAGGAGGCCGACAGCCTCAGCAGAGCCAGGACTGCAACCACAGGCACTCAGATGTGAGATGCACATGTCCCGAGCAGGATTTTAACAACTAAACCAAGAGCTCACCGAAGTATAGCACCCTTAAAAATGGGAAAGGGCAAGGTGTAAAGTATACAGCGGAACAATTTGGAACTTTTTCAGAAAAGGAGTTTGATACTTCAGCTTCTGTTTCCTTAGCCAAGTTGATTCTGTAACAGTCAACTCTTTCTCATTCAGTTGCTTGGAAGGAGTGTTGAGAAATATTGGGGACTTGAGAGGAACTTTGAAGATCATCCAGGACAGCAGTTTTCAAACTTTTCCAGTGAAGTGCTTTCGATGGTCTAGGAGGATGAAACAGTAGTTGATTTGCTTAAAAGCATGTCCCAAAATAACTCAGTGTCAACTGAAAATACTTTTGTTTCAATTTAATATGAAAAGTTGTGGGCAATTCATATTCTAACTCGTGATATGTGTGTGTGGGTATGTAGATAAATCATTTTCTGTCCTTCACTGTCCTGTATTTAGTGCTTGGAAATATAGTGGGAAAAAGGTAGTGCATTTTTGTTTGGCAAAAGAGTTTTGGTTCTGAATGGATATCCTCATCCTTAGTATGAAGGGTCTTCAAAAGTTGCATGGAAAATGCATATTATAAGTTACATGCATTTCACATTTTTTACACCAAAATTAACATGTTTTAATTCCATCCCTTGAAAGTTTTGAAATACCCCTATATTGCCATTGGACTGTTACTGTTAAGAAAGGGATTGTCAGAGGATCAAACTCCTATACATGCGGGTTTAAAGTCTGCTTATCTAGGGATTGAATGAGAGTCAATAAAAATCATTTTACAGAGCATGATGTGCCATTTAAATGTGCGGTTTTGTTTGTTTGCCTTTGTTTTTCGTTTTAGTGCTCCTCTTTATAGCTTTTATCCCCTCAAAGTTATGTCCAAGTGAAAAATCCATATGGGGAGAAAATGTTTTGATGTGGGACAGGGCACTTACTTTTTGTTAGTCTTCCTTTGACGTACTAAGTATCAGGTGCAACAAGTCAACTAACCACTGGTGTAATTGATGCCCTTGCAGGAGGGAGCACTGGCAGTTGCTGGGTAATTTGAAGACGACTGTGGAGGGTTTGGTGTCGGCCAACAGCCCCAACGTCTGGTCTAAGTATGGCGGTCTGGAGCGGCTGTGCCGGGACATGCAGAGCATCCTCTACCACGGTCTCATCCATGACCAGGTAGGTAGCTCTTTGATGTCAGGTTCACTGCATCATTTGCTGGGAAGAAATGGGTACAGGAAGTTGGTTGTTAGGGAGATGATGATGGCCACAGGTCTCTAACCTCTTGAGGGTAATACTGAATACCAGCTGTACCATAGATATAGGATGCCAATAGAATGGATCAGAGCTGATAAAGGCAGCAAATCAGCAACAAGAGGTTAAGTCAGCAAAAATGTTGAAATATTTATGTGTGTGTGTGTGTGCATAAGACTGCACTCCCTCTGGAGGCTGAGGGGAGAAATCTGTTCCCTTGTCATTTCTGACCTCTAGAGCTACATTCCTTGAACTTGGAATCTTGGATCTCCTTGGATCTTCCTCCCTGTTCAAAGCCAGCAACACAGCATCTTGAAATCTGTTTACACATCACCTTCCTTCCTTGTGATCTCCTGCTTCCCTCCCAGAAGTACTTCTGTAATTATAGTGTGCTGGCCTGGATAATCCAGGGTCATACTCCTGGTCTAAAACCCTTAATTTAATCACACCTATAGGACTCCTTTATGACCATGAAATGTAATGTTCACAGGGTCTAGGAATTAGAATGTGGCTATCTTGGAGGACTATTTTTAGCCACCCCTAATCAGCAAAGTTTTCGTTAGTTTTGGTTGGAAACCATATTTTTTTTCCTCTGAAGTAGATAGAGGCAAAAAGAGGTATTCAGCTTCTGCCTTTCAATATGCTGTTACATTAAACGTCTACCACAGTGGGTGGCTAGCCTCATGGCTAAGATGGCCACATTCCAATTCAGGTGCCTGGGCTTGATTCTGGCTGCTGCTGCTGAGTTCATGATCCCACCAGTGCAGATCCTCAGGGACACAAGAGGCTAGTGGCTAAATCCTTGTCTTGCATCCACTGGGATCCCATATGGGTGCTGGTTTGTATCCTGGCTGCTCCACTTTCCTTCCAGCTCCCTGCGTTTGGCCTGGGAAAGTAATGGTGGATGGCCCAAAGCCTTGGGACCTTGCACCTGCGTGGGAGACCTGAAGCTTCTGGCTCCTGGCTTTGGATTGGCTCAGCTCCAACCATTGCAGCTACTTGGGGAGTAAATCAGCAGACGGAAGATTTTTCTCTCTATGTATTTGCCTTTCCAATATAAATGAAAAAAATAAAATAAAAAGCAAAAGCAAAAAAAAAAAAAATTCCTTTCTCACAGTCCTTTTGCCTTGAAGATGGAGTGAACCAGTCAGAACAAACTGCTTAAACTTAAGAGTGGTATAATTAAAATTGATGTTTCTTTCTGATTAATTTATTTGAGAGGCAGAGTGAACAGAGAGGGAGAGACCTTCCGCACTGGCTCGCTCTCCACATGCCTGCAGCAGCTGGGGCTAAAGCTGAAGCCAGGAACTCTGTTTGGTCTCTCACGTAGAAGGCCGGAGCCCAATACTTGAGCCGTTCTTTGCTGGTTGCCAGGGTCATTTACAGGAAGATTATCCATCTTCTCAATATTTTTTTTTCTGTTAATTTGTGCCATTGACCTATTCAGTGTCCTAAGCCAGAAACTTGGGAATCGTGTCCACGTGCTTCGTGAAATTTCAATATAAGCTTCCCAGGCAGATGACTAAATCAGTCTCCAGAATAGTTGTGCTTTCACTCAATCATTACAGTATTTGTGACTCGATAGCAAATGACTTCTTTTCTTGACTGTATTACAAATTTCACATGGTCATCTCGAATAGTTCCTGAGGTGTGTTTCATGACAATTTCACCATCCATGCCAGAAAAGAGAATGTGTCATGACGATATAATAAAGTCAGGCAGATTCTCAAATGAAAGATGCTTGGTAAATGGAAAACACCATTAACATATCTTGTTACTGTCACTAAAATGTGATAATTTTTGTGAATGCACCCTGTTATACTGTGACCTCTGAAACAACAGTGATGTTAGCAAGTAGGAATAAAATGAACCAGACAAGTATCATTTAAGTACAAATACTTGCTGCTGCAGGTTCTAGTGGGGGAAGAATTTAAAACAAGATTCATGTTGATTTCACTGCTACTTGGTTCTGCCTGGTAAAGGTCTAGGGATTGAAGTCATGAGTTAAGAACTCGTTTCTTCCTTTCGTCTCCTCCCTAAAGATTAAGGCTTTCCAAAGTTTCAGGCTGCTTTGTCATCCAGAAGCTATTCTGGTGTCCTGCCCTTCAAGGGGAGAAGGGACATGATGATTCATGTGGGCTGTAGCTCCTCTGTGTTTTCGTAAGGGCGTGTTGTGAATGTGAGTTGTATTTTTAAAAAAATCACTCATGGCTGAGTAAAGCTATAGCATCATGACCATATTCTTAGAGGGGTATCATTTCCCTTGAGAGCCTGCATCTTTTTTTTTTTTTTAAATCTCAGAAATTTGTTTTCTTAATTGGTATTTACTTTCATTTCACTTGAAAGGGAGGGACAGAGGGAGAGATCTATCTACTGGTTCACTCCCAAAGTGCCCGCAACATTCAGGGCTGGCCCAAAACAATGAGCCCAGAACTCAGGCTTAGCCTCCACATGGGCAGCAAGGACCTAAGTATGTGAGTCATCAACTGCTGCCTCCTGCCTCCCAGGTTGTGCCTCACAGGAAGCTGAATTGGAAACTAAGAAGCCAGGACTTGATCCAGCATCCTAGTATGGGATGTGGGCATCCCAAGTACTGATTTAATCCCTGTGCAAACACCTGCCCCAGCCTACCTTTCAGGGCTTCAGCAAGGCAAAGTGTATTTGGTAATCTCTTATTTGCTGCTTAGAAATGTTGGGGATCTCAATCCTTGAGATTGCTCAACTGGATAGGAGTACAAAGATTCCCTTTTGTCCACCACCAAGAAAATGTTCCTAGCAACATAGATAGCCCAATATATATATTGTATAAATTAACAAGAAAGGGTGTTTGTGTCCTTTGAATATGTCAGTATATTTTTGTTGGCTGAAAATTTGAAAACTACAACAAATTAGAAGAAAATATGTATTACCCATAATTTCAACATGAAATAATAACAACCATTTTTAACATTGTAATAGTTTCTTATGCAATCTCTCTCTCTTTCTATATATGTATAGGTATAGATCTATCTATATCTATATATATATTTCTTTTTTTGAAAGATTTACTCAGAGAAGGAGAGACAGAGAGAAAGATCTTTCATTTGCTGGTTCACTCTCCAAGTGGCAGTAATGGTTGGAGTTGCTCTGGTTCGAAACCAGGAGCCTCCCCTGGGTCTCCCATGCAGTTGCATGGTCCCAAGGTTTTGGGCCATCCTCCACTGCTTTCCCAGGCCACAAGCAGGGAGCTGGATGGGAAGTGGGGCAGCTGGGACATGAACCAGCATCTGTATGGGATCCTGGTGCTTGCAAGACAAGGATTTAGCCTCTGTACCTTTGCACCGTACTCCTTCTATTTCCCCTCTAAAGATATGTTGATTTTTACTTAACAGGCAGATTCACAGAGAAAGAAAATGAGACAGGGAGATCTTCACCCACTGATTCTATCTCCAAATGACTGCAGTGGCTGGAACTGAGTCAATCTAAAAATGGGAGCTTTTTCCTTCCAGGTCTCCCATGTCATTGCAGGGACGTAGGACTTGGGCCATCTTTCACTGCTTTCTCAGGTGCATTAACGTCTTCCATGTGCCAGGATCCCATATGAGTGTTGGTTCATGTCCCAGCTGCCCCACTTCCCATCCAGCTGCCTGCCTGTGGTCTGGGAGAGCAGTCAAGGACAGCCCAAAGCCTTGAGACCTTGTGTCTTCATTGGAGACCTGGAAGAAGCTCCTGGCTCCCGGCTCTATGGATCAGCTTAGCTCTGGCCGTTGTGGCCACTTGAGAAGTGGTCAGGGGACAGAAGATCTTTCTTTCCACTTCTCCTCTCTCTAAATCTGACTTTCTAATAAAACCAAATCTTTTTTTTTTTAATTTTTATTGGAAAGGTGGATATACAGAGAGGAGAGACAGAGAGGAAGATCTTCCGTCCGATGGTTCACTCCCCAAGTGAGCGCAACGGCCGATGCTATGCTGATCCGAAGCCAGGAGCCCAGAGCCTCTTCCGGGTCTCCCACACAGGTGCAGGGTCCCAAAGCTTTGGGCCATCCTCGACTGCTTTCCCAGGCCACAGGCAGGGAGCTGGATGGGAAGCGGGGCTGCCGGGATTAGAACCGGTGCCCATATGGGATCCCGGGCGTGCAAGGCGAGGACCTTAACCACTTGCGCCATCGCGCCGGGTCCTAAAACCAAATCTTAAAAAAAAAAAAAAAGGACCTGAATGGTGGAGAGAAAGGGAGTAGGAAACAGTTTTACCTCTGTGTATCTTCTGTATTTTGCACATATATCACCTGTTGAAAAATCGATGAATTCCCTTCATGATATATTCTTTAGGCTCAGAGATTTTCCCCTTCCACTCTTCTCATTCTTCCCCCTGCAACTAATTTTCCCTATATTATTACAATGGTATTGTCCTTCAGCAACAATCACAAGGCAGTCATTCTGCTATTTAAGTGTATCCTGACATTGTAGGTATAGGCAATGGTAGAAGGTCCAATATCCTATTGTCAAGATACATTTAACAGGGCCTGGCACGACAGCGTAATGGTTAAAGTCCTCGCCTTGCACGTGCCAGGATCCCATATGGGCGCCAGTTCTAATCTCGGCAGCCCCGCTTCCCATCCAGCTCCCTGCTTGTGGCCTGGGAAAGCAGTCAAGGACGGCCCAAAGCCTTAGGACCCTGTGCCCATGTGGGAGACCTGGAAGAAGTTCCTGGCTCCTGGCTTTGGATTGGTGCAGCACCAGCCATTGTAGCCACTTGGGGAGTGAATCATTGGACAGAAGATCTTCTCTGTCTCTCCTCTGATCTGACTTTGCAATAAAAATAAATAAATCTTAAAAAAAAAGATACATTTAACAGTTTTATTGGGAGGGGTCTATCTTTTTTTCAGGAGTAGAGATACATCCTGCAATGAATCTTCACTTGTCGTTCTGCTAGTCTCCATTATACA